AAAAACATGGAACTCAATGTTTCTTGAGTTCTAGTTTCTGTTATTGAGTTATTGAGTTGTGGTTTTATTCCATTGCTGTCAGAAAAGAAAATACAATTTCAATTTTTTCTTTATTTTAAAAAATGTGTTAAGTCTTGTTTTGTGACAATGTATTGTCTATCCTAGAGAATATTTCAGGAGCTGTTGAGAAAATTGTGCATTTTTCAGTTATTAGATGAAATATTCTGTAAATGCTGTAAATTAGGTCTTTTGGGTATAGAGTGTAAGTTAACTCTGATATGTCGTTGTTTTCTGCCTAGATAAGCTGTCCATTGCTGAAAGTGGAGGTTTGAAGATTCCTCCACTGTAATATTATTGTATTACAGGCAACTGCTTCCTTTAGGTCTATGTGAATTAGTACAGCGACTATGGAAAACAGTATGGAAATTCCTCAAAAAACAAAACACAAAATGGATCTACCATATGATTCAGCAATCTCACTGCTAAGTATATATCCAAAAGAAAGGAAATCAGTATGTTGAAGAGATATATTCACTCCCATATTTATTGCAGGACTATTTACAATGTTACCATGTTAAAAATATTAAGTGTGTCCTATTGATAAAGTTTCACGTCTTTCCATTTGTTTAGGTATTTACTACTTTCTCCTAGCTATGCTTAACAATGTTTTATATTTTAGTGTAGAAGTCTTGCGATTATTTGGTTAAATATATTTCTAAGTATTTTCTTCTTTTTGGTGCTATTGTTAATGGAGCTAGTTTACTTCCTTTTCAGTTTGCTCACTGATACTGTATAGAAATACAGTTATCCCTCAGTATACATGGGGAATTGGTTTCAGGACCACTCATATATACGAAAATCCATGCACATTCAAGTCCTATGGTCAGCAGAACCTGCTTATACAAAAACTCAACCCTCTGCATATATGGGTTTTATATCCTCTACATACTATATTTTTGATCCCCATTCAGTTGAAAAACATCTGTATATAGTGGACCCACAGAGTTCAAACCTGTGTTGTTCAAAAGTCAACTACTGTTCATCTGATCTTCGCATGTTGATTTTCTATTTTGCAACTAATAGTTTCTTTGTGGATACTTTGGTCTATTCTATATATAAGATTATGTCATCTGCAAGTAAAAATAGTTTTCCTTCTTCCTTTCCAATTTATATGCCTTTTATTTCTCTGTTTTGCCTGATTGCTCTGGCAAAGACTTTCAGTATAGTATTGAATAACAGTGGTGAAAGTAAGCATCCTTTTTTCTTCCTGATATTACAGAGAAAGATGTGGGTATTTTTTAATAAATACCATTTTTGATGTTAACAGCTTTCTATAAATTTACATAGATATAACTTTATATGTATTCATATTTCTATGAACTATCCATTTCAGTTATTTGATCTAATTTGTGAGCCTACATTTGTTCATAATATTCTCCTTTATTAATTTCTTTTGTCCCTGAAAATGGTGAGACACCTTTATTCCTTTAAGGCCAGTATTAATGTCTCTTTTTCATTTCTGATTTTACTAGTTTCAATCTTTTCTCTTTCTTAGTCAGTTTATTTAATGATTTCTCAAGTTTGTTCCTCTTTTACAAGAAACAACTTTTGGTCTTGTTAATTTCCTCTAGTGTTTTCTATTATCTTTATTACTTCCTTACCACTGCCAACTTGATGTTAGTTTGCTCTTCTTTTTTTTCTAGTTCTTTCAAGTGTAGATTACTGGTTTGAGATATTTTATTCTTTTTAATGTAGTCATTTACTGCTATAAATTTCTCTATGAGCACTGCTTTTACTACATCCTATTAGTTTTGGGATACATGTATTTATTTTCATTTATCTCTAAGTTTTAAAGAGTATGTTATTTAATTTTTACATATTTATTATTGATTTTTACCTTCCTTCCAGGTGATCAAATAATTTGTTTGATTTCAATCTTTTAAAATTCACCCAAACAAAGTATATTTTGATTACTCTTACATGGAATAAAGAAGTTTTAAAAATTATTTTATTTTCAACCTGTTTGGGGTTTTTTCCTAAAATGAGTCTGTAGACAGCATGCCATTGGATCATACCTTTTAATAATTTCTTTCAGTTTCTGTTTTCTAGTGCTTAAATTTGTCGCATTTACATTTCAGTTATTGAAAGAAATAGACTTCTGACATTTTTCTATTTGGTTTATATATGTTTTCCTATATTTTTTGCTTTTCAATTCCTCAAATACCACCTTTTTATGTCTGATGTTTGATTGATTTTCTTTCAATTTACCATTTTATTTTCTTATTTTTTTTCTTTATATTTTTAAGTTATTTTCTTGATGGGGACTACTACTGTCATCTTAAATTTATAATAAACTCATTTGAATTTATAATTTTTATATTAAATAGTATACACTTTGCTTTAATACATTTTTGACCCTCCTACTTTATGTTCCTCCTACTTTATTATCACAAATTACATATTTATATATTGTGTGCCCATTGTAATAGGTAAATATTGTTTGTTATACTTTTTAATAGACAGGAAAAAAAGAAGAACTACATACCAAAAATACTATAATACTTGCTCTAATATTTACCTAGGTAGTTACCTTTACTGAAGTTCTTTATTTTTTATATGTTTTCAGTATCTGTCTAACAGTTTTTCATTTCAGTCTGAATGACTTGCCTCAACATTTCTTATAGATCAAATCTACTAGAGAGGAACTTCCTCAAGTTTATTTGGAAATCTCAATTTTTCCTTTATTTTTAAATGATATTTTGCTGAATGTAAAATTCTTGTATGAAATGACTTTTTTTAGCATTAAAATATATTATCCCACTGCCTTCTGGCTTTCTTTGGTTGTGATAAGAAATTAGCTGTTAATCTTGTTTAAGATCCTTGTATATGATGAGTTACTTGTCTTTTGTTGTTTTCAATGTTTTCTTCTTGTCTTTTGCTTTCTTCCTTGCTTTCTGTCCTGTCTGTTGTCTGTCCTATTTCACGTCTCTTGCCCCAGTTTATGCTAGTATAAGCCTTTAAATGCTTTCAACATATCCTGCCCAGAATGCCCCTCCAGACCTCAGAGAATTTGGAGGGGTGCAAAACAAAGGCAACCCACTTAGCTGATTCCCCAGGGAGCTGCCAGACAGGTAGAAATGCAAGATTACAATTCTTTCAGAACAAGGCTTACATTCCCCCTCTAGTACTGTCAAGCTACACTAGAAACATGAGTTATTATCCCCATGGCTGCCTCTGAGATGGAGAATGGAAGATAGTAGGTGGGTAAAGAAAAATGCCACAACAGACTCTTACTAACATTTAGCAGCTCCTTTTTCATTAAGCACTCCATTGAGTGCTGTAAGTTTTCTGTTTAATTCTAGATTTCTGATTAGATGCCAGAGTTCCAAAAAATGTAAATTCTGACAGTTTTGACAGTGTAATTGATGCTTTAGTAGAGGGACAAATCTTTGATGTTCCCTACTCTCTGCCATTCTTACATTTAGATGCTTTTTACAATCCCATCTCAGTTGCATTTCCTATCTTTGCAAACTCCACATTTCTGAAGTTTCTGTTTTCTTTTATTTTGCTTGCAAAGCTTTCTATTCATTCCCAAGATAATCTCCTAATAAAACATTGTTAAATGCAACCAGTAATACCTAATGGTCTAATAATAGCTAAGAGGCTAATGTTCTGATTCTTTCCAAACACTTAGCCTAGAGCTATAAGTTCATTAAGCACTTAGTAAGCCTCAATTGCTAAACCAGGTGAAAGTTTTGCAGAATGTTCTGCCATGATACAATGTGATCACCAAGTTTCTAGCATCATATATCAATTTCCACAATTCTCACTGCCTGAATACCGAGAAAATGACACATGATTTAGAAGCGCCTCAATTTAAGATTCTAATTTTTGTATTACTTTTAGCAGTTGTAATAAATAATTAAAAATTCAGGACATTAACAAATAAAAATTTATTTATAATTCACACAAATTTTCATTGCAGGTATGGCAGTTATTCTAGGGGTCTCTTTCCCGAGAGAGATTTAACATTATATTCTACTTACATATTTGATTTGACTCTTTCATCCATTATCTCTTAGCCTTAGAAATTTGAGGAAAAGATTGAGACAGTAATTTCTCAAGTGGTTAAGGGACCAGTCCTGAAAATGAAGTACAGTAGTTTTACCCACAATCTTTTGCCAAGAACTACTCATATCCCTCCAATTTAAATTCAAAAGAAAGTGGGAAATATGGTATTCCTGTGAGAGCAGAAAGAGAAATTGTACATAATACATGACTCTGTCTTAGCAGACAAGAATAAGAGACTCTCCTACTGGCTTTAAAGAAGTTATCCATTATGTTGTCAAAAGACCTGTGAGCACCTGTAGGTGCAGAGAGCAGCACTCAGCTGACAG